AACAAAAACCTGCGTGTTAGAGGGAATATGTGCGATGTAATCTATGTGTATTCAACGTTAACAAATAACTGCTAGTTGATAAAAGCGACAACTAATTAGAAACACTAATGTTCTTTTATTATTATTATGTAATTCATATTTGCTATACATAAATAAATTGCTTGTTTGGGTGTATACAATGTATCATCATATGCGTTGCATATCTGGTATAGTCAATAAAATATCTGTTAGCATTATATGTGTTACGGTGATAAAAAATTTTCTGTAGATTATCCCATATTTGCAAATCGAAATGGGCCAACCCATTTCAGGATCTCAGAATGGGTCAAATCCTAGAATGGGTCCGAACAACAACATAACAAAAGAATATATGCAATTTCCGAGGTAAGGTGCTACATATTATATCTATTTGCGGAGTCTTTTGTATAGTAATAGGAAGAAAAGCTTTCTTTCCTTTACGAATAGTCTATTATCTATATAGTTTCAATGCATGCTATCAATCAAGATTAAATAAGTTTTTTTGGAATTCGAAAACCCATTGAAATTTGTTTCCAAACCAATTCTACGTTCATTACTGCTAATGCAGGAATTTGTTCTTGTTCTGTCAAGATATTGCTTTTAATTGGTTACTCAGTCATCTATTACGATTTGGAATTAATTCAAAGACATTCATTTCTCTAATGGCCATACGAATATTATATGCAATATATGCAGCTTAAAACAATAAGGTCATTTTTAATTGTTACGCTCAATCTAAAAGTTGCATTTTTTCCCAACTTTCCCGCTTTGGCAAACAAGCTAACCAACTTTAAATTCTTCTTCGAACCAATCATAGTTGCCACTGCTGTTCGGCGATCGGGTCGAGTGACCTAGATTGGTATGAACAAACGGTATCAATATTCGGTAGGACAGCAGAATGAAAGAAGGTCAACGACTGGGTTTTAGTTCGAGAAAATTCACAATCACGCCGTAGAAGTATGACTAATATACATAATTAAGTTTATAATGAGTGATACTTGTAAGTAATAATAATAACTTATTTATGTAGACTAAGGCTAGCATTTGCAACACACTGTTAATGGCTAATCTAGTTTAAAATACTAAGCACTCATTAGTTGACGAGTTTCTGCCTCGACTTATCAATACCTATTTTCATTTGTAATGTTACTCATGCGATTGCCATGTTCTCCGTTTTTTTTTGTCTGATCACCTAGCGTTGTCGTCGCAATTATGTTGATGTTACAACATCCTCCAGCAGCAGCTCTCACATCAGCCTTATTTGCTTAATCATTTTACATCAAGCTGGTTATCTCATCCATTCGATTATTACAATTAACCATTCCCTGTTATTCCGCTTATGCCCGTTTCACGTGTCTATGTTAATGTAGGCGTGGAAAAATCATTGTTACTATTATCTCAGATTGATAGTTTGTTTATTTGGCTTATTTGTGATTGCATCGTATTGGTTCAGGACGCATTGTTTATACTAAGATTGTTACTTCTTATGGGCAATTTGTTAATTACATGTTGCACAATACGACAAAATAGGGATAGACACTTTTTAGTAAAACGCTGTTCTCTTCTTGATAAACACACATATCAAGCGTAATTGTCGGTACTTTGTCAGTCAGATTCTTTGGAAAGTTTTTTGCTGATTCTTCATGATTTTTTTCTAGAGATCTGTCAGACGGTCGTCATTAACATTCTCAAACAATTAGTTGATGCTGATTACTTGCATGGTAAACAGTCATGCAGAAAATGAATGCAAATGTAAGGAAAATGAAGTAATCAAGCTTAATTGGAAAGAGAACCAAGAATAGTTGAATGCAGAATCGAGTATGGAAATTATGCAGGCAATAAGCGTTGAATGGAATGGAATAATGAAACATACATTTTATAGGTTACACTAACCATCATACATTGAACACTTCACCAATCAAGCGTAAGCTACGCAGGCTCGGATTTTAATAATCTTTTTCCCGTCGATTGCTTTGAGCCTGCTATTCTCGATAGACTCATAACGAGATAACTAGAAACAGGTCCAGCAAAGGAGATTTAATATTGAGATTAGACACAATTCATCTCTCCATACTTCTTAATATCAGTGGACGTCTAAGAGCATTTGGTGTATTATTGAACAGGATTAAATTTGGAAAGTAACACGCCGTTATCTAGTTAATTATTTCGCTTATAAGCTAACCGATTAGAGTATACGGGTTTTTCCTTTGGTTCCCATAGATGCATAATCATTTTCCTTCTTCGATTTGAGTATTAGTATTAGTTCATTTAATGTCAAATCTACACCCGAAAGCGGAAAATACGTTCGACAAATACTCCGATTCAATATATATACTGTAAGGATTTTAGCAATCCGACAATTTGAGGACTACAAGTAACGACGTTGAGATTGTATTTATTGAATTTGTTATACATTTGACATCCTCACATTCATTTACATTTATTACGTTCTTTTGACGTTTTTTTTTTACATTCATTTTTATTTTCTTTCCATTATACGACTTCCCGCCCGCTTCCTATAACAATTCCCCAATCCTACACACATTCCACACTCAGTATCATACCATTCATCATATATCATTCATAACTCTCCTTCCTATCGCTTATGAATACGTCAAAATGATCATGTTGGGAAAACATATAATAATAATAGCAAGTATTGCGTTATCTGGTGTCGGAGCAATATTATTAATGTATCAATGCTATTATCGCTTTACGAGGTTGAGACTTGCTTGGTGAGTGTTCGGGAGTGAAAGGATTGAGTGTTCATTGTTCTATCATAATCTACTGTTGTGATCGACATTTTATACTAATACTAACTAGTTTTATTAACTCTTGTTACACCGACGCCAGTCTAATATCGACCATGCTCCTAACCATTCTCTCAGTGCTCAACTACCTCACATCAGTCCCTCAACCACCCATTTTCAAATGGCACACATTCTGGTCTCTTTCCTATCTCATCTCGGCTCTTTCGCTTTCAATCCTTCTACTCACGCTTCTCGATATGGGTAGGAAATTTTATCCGCCAAATCGATGGAATACGCGGCTCTTCAAGTCCATTTTACTTCAAATTATTTTTATGGATTTGGCATATGCCGTTAGTGGTGCTATCGTATTGGCAAGGGAAGATAGCGTCCCACACGTTGCAATGATTGTTGCACAGAGCGTATTGACTTTGTGGAATATGATTAGTGCATTGGGTTACACTTTCTTCCCTGTCATTACTACGCTTTCGTGTGATGTTAAGAGGAGGACAGAAGACGTAGAATGTGTCTTATATCCTCAGAGTAATGGTGTTAATGAAAATGTGGATACCACTTCGTGCACCTCCATAGTCGCCACTCCATATGTTGCAACAAATTACACTCAGCGAACGGCCACCCCTCGCCAGCATATAAATGCCCAATCCGCAGCAATCGGGGCTTGGTACATGCTTACAACAGGCTCTCTATCTCTTATATCTCTCTTCATAAATCTCGTCGCTTTACTCATGGATAGTACAGGCGCGTCTATGTCTATCGTCAACGACGTTGAGATTCTACTAGGAATTGGAATTACTCTTTCACTAGCAGTGACTCCACCAAAGGGATTGGTCAGAGCTTTCAAATTGAGAATCATTGGTCGGAAACTGAGTAAGCATGTTATTTGGGAAAGGAGCGATTATGCATATAATAAAGATCATGGTACAGCTGCTGCCCATAAGAAAGAGAGTCAGGACGACAATGCTTGGGTTGAGATGAGAGATGTTCAGGCGCAGGACGAACCCCTTGAGCAGGTGATTGCAGAGGATGATGGATACAAAAAAGATTCTAAATGATGAAGTAAGCCTTGAAAATCGATGGGCAGGTATATTTTTGTAGTAAATTAGTAACAAAAAAGTTGGCCAGATGTTTGATGGATTACATAGTCAAGTTTAAAAAAAACTTGCTAGAAAATTTCTCCTTGTAATAAATTGTGTTTATTAAAATAAAAGTCAAGTATTCATTAAATGTGACAGATTAAAACAAAATCGGATTAAAACGAAATTTGGAGTCCTCTTTTAATGCCTCTGAAACCCACATACTGTATTCAGTCAAACCTCGATATAGTCAAGTAGACGGGACGGGGATTTTTCTTTACTATATCGAAACTTCACTACACCGAAAATTTTCGATATAGTAAAGTTCATATAATATATAAGTAATAAGTGGCATAAATCTTCACTATGTTGCGACTGGCAAATCTATAGTAGTGTAATAGTAATGATAAATAACTCAAACGTTATTTCTACTGACGAATCTAATACTGCTGAACGATTTATATGAAATGTACTGGTACTAAGTTGTTTA